CTTCTCTCAAAGTTATTCTAAGTTTTGTGGTGTTGTGTGAGACTTTTGAGGCATCACACTTGGGGTGCTAGGCTCACAAGGTTTTCAAAGAATCCAAGCAACTATAAGGTATGTTCTTCTACTAGCAATTATGTTTTAAAGTTCCCCATGCCATGCTAGTTAAGTTAAGAACCTTGGAAAATCATTTTTGCATGTATCTTAGTAAAACATAGATCCAAGGTTTCTAGGGTTGCATGTACACCTTAAGAGTGTTAGAATGCTCAAAACCCTTTAGAAAACTCATGACAGCCAAAAACTCCTGAACCGAAAATTCATTCCAACTAAAAAACCTGAACTGAAAATGAGTAACCCTACTCGACTCGTCGAGTCAGGTAAGGGACCCGACTTGTAACGAGTTCCTTCATCCATCCCCAATTTCAGCCTTTCCAGTGGGATCTAAGGTCCCAAACTTCAGATCCAACTTTTCCTAGTGCAGATACCACGTAAAGTTGCAAACTTTACATGCATGCAAGGTCCTCCGAAGTTAAATCTCCAAACTAGGCTTCATACAAGGTTCTTGTGCATAGAAAGATGCTAAACTTCATAAAGGGAGCAACTTTATGCCATTGGGGACTTAAAGAGGTCCAAATCTTGGACCATAAGTCCAGACCCAAGTTTGACCCCATTTTTCCACAAAAATTGTCATTTACTTTCAAGAAAGGAGATCTAAACAACTAGAGATCAAGGTCACGACTTTATACCTTAGAATGATGTTCAATATGATGTAGATGTTGGATCTACTGCTCCTCTCATGTTCCTTCTCCTTCAACCTCCACAAATCCTCCCAAAAATGCTCACCAAGGCTCTTTCTCTCACTTAATAGGGGTTCACGGCTGAAAACGCTTTTCTCTGGGTGGTAAGTTGCTAAGGGAGGCCACAAATGAGACATAAGTCCTTTAAATAGGGTACAAACCCTTGAAAGTTTGGGTGTCTCTTTACAGCTCCTACTCGCCGAGTCGGGGCCTTCTGAATCGTCGAGTAGGTCCCCATCCTACATCCAAAATTAATACTTCTACTCAACGAGTTGATCCTTAGACTCGCCGAGTCCACAGCTAAAACCCTAAAATCATTTAAATCAGATAATATCTGGAACAGGCGTTACATATATACACGTCAAGTTGGAAACTTTACATGATAATCCAACTCAAGGAGGTCAAATCTATGTTTTGAAGACATATCTTTAAGGATTAGGTGCTTATTGGTTCAAATATTGGGCAAACAGGGCGTGTTTGCAAGCCAACACGGCATGTTGGCTAGGGATGTCCTGATTATCTGGCTGAGGAAGGAACACGACGTATCCAAGGGGCAACACGACATGTTTGGTCAACATGGGCTTTTAACTTTGACTTTGACCAGAAGTATGATTAGGGTTGACCTTGGGATGTATTGGTCCATGTTTGGGCCTTTTAGATTGTTAAATTGGGCCTTGGATTTGGGTCCAAGTTATAAGAGGGTAGAAAGGTCTTTTACACTAGTTTGAGCACATAATGTGGTTCGGATTCGATTATTGATGGATGTTTATCTTGTGGTTGATAGCGTGCGGATCTATCAAGCCAACAGCCAGGAATTATCTGAAGGATGTGGTAGCACGAGGTGAGTTTCCTCACTATGTTTAGTAGGTCGAAGACACCAATGTCGGCCCATGATTTGTTATGTTTAGTATGCTTGTTGTCTGCATGAGCCTTGCATTGTTATGCATTTTATGTTTACTGAGCGGTGATCGATGTTGGGCAGGGCTCGATGCCCGGTAGGGTCTGATAAGTATATTGCATGTTAGTTATTTGTATGTATTTTATGATTGTCGGGTATAACCTGATGTCGGGCGGGGCCTGAATGCTAATATGTATGTTTTTTATCTCTATGATTATGGCATGTGCTGTGTTTTTATATGCTCATATGTTTATATGTTTATATGCTTATACAGGGTAGGTTCCGATGCCAGGAGGGGCCTGGTGACTGGCAGATCTGCTTACCGAGCAGGGCTCGATGCCGGGCGGGGCCCGATACCGGAAACGACCCGATGAAGGGCAGGGCCCATTATGAGTTTTTATATATATGTGTGGTATGTTGTATCTTGGGGAACTCACTAAGCTTTGTGCTTATGGTTTTTAGTTTATGTTTCAGGTACTTCGGTTTTCTAATGGAAGAGCTCGGGATGATTGCATAGTACACACCACATGTTTCCGCATCTTGTAATTTACTCTGATATGATGATGTTTTGATAACTTTCACTTAACTTAGTTTTATGGAAATGATATGTATTAACGATTTATTAATCTAAAAACAAAATATTATGTCATTATTTTTGGGACGTTTCAAGTTGGTATCAAAGCCTTGGTTTGAGGGATTCGGGCACACTCCCAGGTGTGTCTGAACTCAAACTAAGGATTTGGTAAAGTTTTTCAAAAAGGTATATATTTTTAGAAATGGATTTTTCTAAAGAAGCAAAGGTATGGTGCATGCAATCATCCGAGCTTAAGTAAGTTTTCCCAAAATACAAATACATGTTATCTAATATGCTTTGATATGTGAATCAATGAATCGCATGCTAGTTAGGGCTAAGGATCTGCTCAAGTTTTGCATGATAGAATGCTATGAGAGATGCCTTGTATGCCTATTGTATAAGCTTGTAGACTTGCATGCTAGTTCTGATTAGCCAGGGATAGGTTTACTTGATATGTGATGCCTGGTACCATAGGGAGCATGGAATGTTGGATTAGGTATGATTTGTATGCGTAAGGAAATCAGTAAGTGGGAGCTCTTAGTATGTATGGTAGTATGTGGAAGTAGATGCTCGTGATTATTATGTGGATTAGAGTGCTACTGCATGAATGCTGCTTGCTTTGTGCTTTGTAGAACTCTTAGGTGATGGGAGTTAGCTACTAAGTTAATATGTCAAGTTACATGTGACAAGGGTTGAATAATCTTATAGTGATGGATTTGACCCTATTTCACAGCTCTTATCTGAGTCTAACTGTTATAGGGATGTCTGTTACTCAAAAGATTATATAATCTTTGTTGCATGTGATTGTATTCATGAGGTGGGTGATTGACATTATAGGGAGTTCTTCAGCAGCTGATGGCAGGGTGAGGCCGGGAACCTAAGAAAGCCTAGGGATTGCTTTAGTGGGTTTTTTTTATGCAGGTTAGCGAGTTTTAGAGTACGGATTGAGAAGGTAACTTAGAGGATTTAGAAGGATTCTTGAGAAAAGTATTGATAGGTGTGGAAGGTAGTATTAGGCCCATACTACTGGAAGCACATGATCCATACTCGAATCAAGGAGAGTCTTGGAGAATCTAGGAATCCTGTGGGATGAGGATTCTTGGGTATATTCGTATCGTTTGCATATTGTTTTCGGTATGGTGTTGAGCACTCGAGAATGAGGTTCAGGTTCTGGTTCCGACTCAATAGCAGGTACTAAGTCGATCGATGCACTGACACGAGAGTTTATCTCATCTCAGATTACTTGCGGTATTTTGGAATAGACCTCGGTGGTCTTGGTTTCATCCAAGGAAGGGATTTTCGAGTTCTTTGATGGTCATCTCAGGGCCTTTTGGGCTAGGATTATGGTAGGACAGTAGGGAGCTCATTTGGAGCCTAAAGCTTATGGATCCATAGAATCCTTCAAGAAGGAGGATCCTGTTGTTAATTATTGTCATTTGGGATCGGATGTGAGTTTTGCACCACGTCCTTAGGAGGAGGAGGTCAGGATCCCTTCATATGCTTTTGCGAGTATGATATCTTGTGTTTTTTTGGGTTGTTCGCAGGGACTGTATTGCGTTGTAATTCTGATTGGGTTTGGGTAAGTTATATCCCGAGTTGGTTCCTTGCTATTTTCTGGGTTATCAAGGATTGTTATATGCCATTTTACATCCCGGGAGTCTTCAATGAATCTTTAGAGGGTCGTATACTCTTGAGCGGGTTTCAGCGTGTTCAGTTGTTGATCCGAGTCTTTGTCGGGATCAATTCAAAGGTATTGCTTAGAGGATCTTTGGTCAGGGTTAGCGGATTAGTTCTCCAGTGAAGTCAGGGTTCAGTGGTTTTATTGCCTGTTTTGATATGATCGACAATTGTTAATGGAAGAACCTTTGGGTTCAAGCACTACCGTTGCAATTTAACTAAAATATAGCTTAAATCTACTATATATATTTGATACATTATAAGTATCAAATATATTTGCATTTTACCAAAATATAACTTAAATGTATTAAAATAATGCCTAAATAAGTGTATAAATATAACAATATCAAAAGTCTAGAGACAAAACCTGCAAATATGCAAACATACAAAGGTTTAAAGGGTGGAAAATGTCAATCTTCAAATGTGAAGATAAAAGTGATATTTTACAGAGTAAATGGGTCGAAAGTGACATTCTACAAAGTATAGGTGGAAAGTGCAAACATACAAAAGTATAAGAGTTAAATCTTTCAACAAAAGAAATTTTTTATGGCCAGAGTAGGAAACCATAAAACTAGGGATGAGCGTAGGCGGGTACCCGCCTCATTTGGCAAGAACCGGAACCGGCGGTTCCTAGAAAGTTAGAACCGGAACCGAAACCGGTCTAGGCAGTTCTTCAATTTTTGGAACCAGTCCCGGAACCGGCGGTTCCGGTTCCGGGAGCGGGTAACCCGGTTACATAAACTTTTTTAAAAAATTTCAATAAAACTATAATTTATTTCGGTCGGAATCGAATAAATTCGGAACAAAAACGCATAAAATTGGATCAATATTTTCTAAATCGATCAAAATAGCACACACATATATTCATACTAGATACCAATATATATATATATATATATATATATATATATATATATATATATATATATATATATATATATATATATATATATATACATACCGGTTCCGGCGGGTACCCAGCGGGTAGCGGTTCCTAAAAAATGAGAACCGGAACCGGAACCACTTAAGGCGGTTCCGTAACTTTAGGAACCGGAACCGCTTAAGGCGGTTCCAGTTTCGGAACTGGCAGTTCCAAGGCGGTTCCGGTTCCGAAAGCAGTTACCCGGTTCCGATGCTCATCCCTACATAAAACTATATTCTACAAACCAAATATGTGAAAAAAAATATATGGTTAAAATATAAAATAAGCATTTTAATATACACTATAATTCTTATAAATTAGAAGTTTGAAAAAAGATTTATAAAAATACTAACATACGATATATATATTAGGAACGAGAATATAAACATACCATTGGTTATTGATTAGTATTCACATGTATACAATTCCCAACATAAACCAATTCATCAGACAATTAAGTGAATCTTTTACCATGACCAATCATTCTAACCCAATTAGCACACACATCCGGGTCTAATTTCATCCATAATTCCCTATAGTTATCATTTTTGTCACAAAAAATCGTGAGTGCAACTAGTTGGAGCGGATCATCTTTGGGCCACCCGAGCTCATTCAACTTCTTTATACAATCTTCAAATGTTGGTTTTGAAGGCGGTTTTCTGTTAATCTTATGGGCTATCATCTTCAAGACACCCAACATTTCTTCTTCAAAAACCGACATCCTCCTTTTAACTTGAGGAAATTCTGGTAATACTTCAACTTCAACCAGAGAGCTACACGTTAACTGTTCTTTATGTGGTTCCACTAGTGCCTCGGTAGCGGCTGAGGGCGGTGAAGTTTCGGATGATGGCGGAGCGATAAGTACTCCTTCTTGAGGTTCATTGGTTATTTCACATGAAAGATCACCCATGAAACAAAACAATATATGGGGGTGTTTGGCTTTGCTTTTAAAAGCCCAAAAGTCCTTTTTGGAAAAGTTACAAAAAGTTAGGATTTCCTGACTTTTCCAAAAAGTTGATATTCCTTGTATAAAAACTCTAAAAGTAACTTTTAAACCCAGTTTTACCAAACATCTTTTGCTTTTTTTCTTTTTCAAAAAGGACTTTTGGACTTGAAAAGCTAAGCCAAACACCCCCATAATTCCATTTTGGACGTGGATGTCGCTGGTTTTTTAAATTCTTTGGATGTGAATTTCAATTTAAATGCTTAGACTTGGTTTTCACATTAGGGGTTTGTTGAAGAACAAGGGGACCTCTCTACTTTATTAAATAATGTATATATTAACGTAAAAATACAAAATATAAAAAGGTCAATAAAAGTAAATCGATCATTTTATGTTTGGTATGGATAAAAATTGCTAAAGGAGGTTACCACATATGCAATTTACCCTAAAACAAAGAAACAATTTATGTAATTTACTCCAAATCTCATACTTCCATTGTCTTGCTACAAAAATACACTTTGTAAACCAGGTCCCATTTCAAGAGCAGTATAGGTGGAAAGCACAAACAGATATGAGAAATGAACACAAATCCTTTCAAAAAAGAAAAAGAAACCATTACCCGGTTTCAGTCCAGTCAAATGCTGGTCAACGCCGGTTTGAAAAAAGGCCGTGGATATAGCACCATCAAAAAGCAGTGCACAAAGATCCGGAAACAGTAGAGGCACATTCCTCAATGTTTCTATGCATTTATTTTTCTGTATGAAATAGTTTTAACAAATTCATAACTAAAACAACAATAAAAGAAAGTTTAGCAAATGAATACAGAATTTACCTTGATTTCAGTCTCCCATTCCTTGTCAGTCAAATAAAACATATCGGTGGACGGATCATATTTGTTTTTTAGTGATACCCATGCTCTGTACTTGCTCTTGAGTTCATCAAAATAGTTTTTCATTTGTTTGCTATCAACAGAAAATGCATCTTTTGAAATATTTACATCAATTTACAAACGAATACAATACATATTTTGTAAACTAAAAGGTTAATTATAACTTTATAAACATTCTTGTTGTGGTAATGGTGCAAGACTCTGCAAGTATTCGGCAAGGATATTACAAAATTCCCCACCCTACCCACTCAACACTAATGTTTTTATAAATATTAATACAAATACAAAAAAATCGTATCACATCCTATTCTATTTAAAAAAAAGAATCTTGTAAGAAAAGAGAAGATGAAGAGTCTCTTGTCTGAATAAGTTGTTGAGTAGTTTGAACTTGTGTTGAGGTCCCTCTTCAACTGGAATTCTTTTGAGTGAATTTTTGCTCTCCTGAACTGTAAAAGTTGCACCACTCGTACAACCAAAATTAGAGCCTCCAACACCAATGATACTCACCGCATCAACTACTGGTATTTGCATGGTTTGAACAACCTACCTGTTTGACTGGTTTGAAAGAAGCCCGACCCGGTGCAGTCTTAGCCTGATACAAAAAAGAAAAACAAAAAAAGGTTGTTAACCTGTGAATTAAAATTACTATTATTTTGATGTATTAACATCAATTTACAAGGATGGAGACTTCAGCAGGGACCATATAAATAGGTTTCTAGAAGCATCCCTCTAAATTATAAAACCCAACCCCAAACTTCTCCATGATGAAACCACACAGAAGCATCCAGAGAAGAAGAAGCAGGTGGTGGTGTGGTGTGGTGTCTCGCTGGAAAGTAAGGTTGTGGCCTTGTGGGGGCAAGGAAAGGCATGGGTGGAGGCATTAGGGTTTGTTCTTTTATGTAAAAAGTAAGAAATAATTCAATAATAGTAACAACTAAGAAAAACATAAAATAAAGGGTAAACTTAACAGGTAAAACAAACAGGTGTTAAGTGTAGGGACCAAAACCACCAAGAAACCCTCTTAAAAGAACTATATTTGCAAGTATAAAACTTTCTGGACTCCAACCAAAAAAACCGGCAAACCACAAGGACCATTTTTGTATTTTAATCTAAACTCTGTTGGAAAATCAAAGGTAAATTATAAACATTCTAGTCGTGGTAATGGTGAAAGCATTACATGTATTTGGTTGGGAAATTACAAAATTCCCCATTCAACAGTAATGTTGAGTGGGGAATTTGAAGAACCTTGTAAAAAAAGAAGATGAAAGAGTCTCTTGCCTGAATAAGTTGTTGAGTGGCCTGAACTTGTGACAAAGTCCCTCTTATTTCAACTTTAATTGTTTTGCGTGAAATATTGCTCTCTTGAACTGTAAAAATTGCACCACTCATACAACCAATATTAGCCCATCCAACACCAATGACATTCACCACATCACCTACTGGTATTTGCATGATTTGAACAACCTGGTTGAACACAAGCAAATGACCAATATTCAACCGGGTTAAATTCAATAAATAACAACATACTTTCATTGATTTGTTTAATATAGCATCCTACTTTTCATTTCTTCCTATGACATGATTGTATTTTAAAAAACCTACAATGTCATCTAAAATACAAAGCAACGTGGGTAAAAGGTTCCAAGTACAATATTCTAATAAGGAAAGAAATAAAGATAAAACAACGCTATAATTGGGAAGAGATCTTAAAGCACAATGTCTTGAAAAGAAAAGGTTGAAAGTGCATGTTAAATTGTTATAAAAAGAAATGAAAGTAGAATGCTATAGATAAAAGCACGTTGTTATTTCCAACATTTAGCCCTATTCATTTCATACTTCGAAGAAAGTTATAATTAAGACCAATGACCTGAGTTACAACAACAATACGATTAAATCCAAGAGAACATGTTGTGGATAACGGTGACTCACTCTGAGGATGTTTATCAATATGAACCATGGATTTTTCAACCCATGTGACCACTTGATATTTTTCATGTGTGGTTGTTATGGCGTTGTGCTGTATAAGGCACATAAATATTTGTTACTTACAAGGGTTAGATTCAATAAATAGCAACATACTTTCATTGGTTTCTTTATTATAACATCCCACCTTCATTACTTACTGTTATAGCATTGTACATAGTTTGATAATCTACCAAATTATTGTAGTGTCATCCAAATACAAATAAACTTCCACTGCTATATTCAAGTGGATTTTTCAAATTTAATGTCATAATATTAATAAGGAAAAAGATTGAAAGTACAATGCTATAACTAGGTGAAATTTTCCTAGTAAGAATGCCTTGATATGAAAGGTGAAAGTACAATCAATTAATGAATGTAAGTTGCTGCTTCCTATATTTATCCTCCTATAAAGTGCCTGAAGTACAAATGACGTACTGTCTTTTCTAAGAGAGGAAGAATGGTATGATCAACCAAAAACATTCACAGGTGTCCGAGAACAACTTCTAAAGCTTGCAGAACCTTGAGACCTTTTCCATGTATATCGATAACTCTATCATCTGAGTTAGTGGACAATGTTGATACTTCATCTGACAGAAAAATGTAGTGTGAAAGCAGTAAGTAATTGAAACCAATAGAAAAACAAAGAGAGAGAGAGAGAGAGAGACCTTGCAGACAAAGGAAGAGTGAAGTTGAGAAGAGATGAAAAAGAAATCATAAATATCAAGAAGGATTCTAAAAAGTTGAAGCATATATATAAAACATGTCAAAAAAATGAGTTTCAAATAAACTTTAGGGAAAAAAGCAAGAAATAGACAAATAGCAATGTGCTTCCATTAATTTGTTTAGTATAAGCTAAATGCAAGAAATAGTAACATGTTTCCATTTATTTGTTCACTATAGCGGTATACTTTCAGTTCTTTCTATCCCACTTTCATTTCTTTTTATTAGAACATTCAACTTCGAAAAATCCACCCAATAATAGCAATATCATCCAAGTACAAAGCAATTTTCACTGCTATAATTGGGCAGATTTCAATTTATAATGTCCTTATAAAGAATAATATTTGAAAGTACAATACAATAATTGGATAGATTTATCAAAGTATGATGCCTTTATAAGAAATCTTTTAAAGAAAGATATGAAAGCAGGATGCTATTTTTAAAAATATTAGCTTATCCAATTCAATGCTGCAAATCAATCTCATAGACAATATACAAAAAATCAAATCAACTTCATTAATCGTAATATATTTAGTTTTCCTATATTAGGATATATATATATATATATATATATATATATATATATATATATATATATATATATATATATTGTTTTACTTGCTAAGAATCAATAACTTTGGGCTGTTATTGCTAATATGTCGAATATATAACGAGGACTCTTCATAAAGAATTTTTCCTCCCAAAAGTCTATCTGTTAGCTATAATACACAAATAAATGAAAGTATGTTGCTATTTCCCACATTTAGCCTGAATTTAATCAAATATCGCTATGTCCCCACAGATAATAATAATGATAATAAGATTCTAATTTTTGTCTATAGAAGCAATATCTCTACCTCTGGGTAGAGGTACATCTGTCTGCATCTAACCTCTCCCTAACCCCATTCCTACAGGATTTGTGTTTTTTGTTGCGAAGGAAACATCCTATATGCAAACATGCATTATATGAATAATCATTAGATATAGAATATAATTTATACCACTAAGTAGGATGCGAACAGAGCAATCGATGTTCTCTTGTATTCTATTGACTGAGGATCCTTGATTCCCAATCGGACTCGTGGCTTGCATTGATGTTAACAATAATCAGATTGAGCAAACTGGAATGGATGTTACACCATCACTCTCATTTTCTGGATATCCATTAACACGTTTGAATACTCTTATCACACCATCCATTACAGGTGACAAAGGTACCTCTATTTCTTCCTTGCCAGATATTTCTACCTAAAAGTTTCTGTAAAATAGTAAAGAAATGGTAAGTTTTTTACATTACATGTTTATAAAAGTATATTGCATATTTGCATGAATCGGTAGAATGGTAAAGTAGCTTGCATTGTTATAGTTAACCAAAAGATGAAAAAAAAATATTGTTGGGTAAGGGAATTAACATCAACTAATAACTACTTCCAAAAATTGAAAAGAATCATCGATAATTATACTAAAAGATAAATAACAAGCATAAATCATTAGAATTAAAAAAAGAAGACCATGATTCACGCCCTAAAATAATGAAGCAATTTCAGTAAGATAAAAAAAAATAGGATAAGGTCATAAAAAAACAACATACTTTTTGATTTTTCCTGCTTATGTCCCTATTTTATCTTAGTACCTACAACCTAAACCCTCAACTTTCCAAAAGTGTTAACCCTGGGTCATTTTAGTAACCATTTATACATAATTAAACCCCTTAACAACCAATTTATTACTAGCTTGTGATTATCCAACTTGTATGAGTGCACAGTTAGTGGATTTTGTTGGAAACAATTGATTATGACAACGGAAACATCATTTTATTTAAAGCAATGGAAATCCGAGATTGGTTTATTTACATGTTTGCCTTTCATATTTATGATGTAACCTTTGGCATGAGTACTAAAAAGTATGAAAAAGAAACAATGACACAATTCGAAAAATACATTGCTTATCCAAAATAAAAAGAAGCAGAAATCTCAAAAGAAACAACTTACAATGCGGCAAGGATGCCAAATAGGGGCTTCCAGTACACGAATGATAGCGTTAGTCTCTTGGCACGTCTTCTTGATGAGATCTCCATTATGTCCAATAATACTCTCAACTTTATGCAGGCGCTATAACCTGAATCACACAGTCTCCAGGTCATTTCTTCTTAGGAATAGTCGTTTCTGCGGCCGGAGCTACCTCCGCAACCGTTGGGTGATCCGCTACTGGCTTCGCCTCCTTCGGAGCCTCTTTCAGTTCCGCTTCCACCGTCCGCTCGGTTTCTACGGCGGCAGTGAGGGGAATCTGGGTTTCCGGGGTTAGGGCAGCGGTTCCTTTCCCTGAATGTACCTTAGAAGCCATTGGTGAACGTACCTTCTTAAGAATAGTCGTTTCCGCAGTTGGAGTTACTCAGTTACCGTAGGGTGATTATCTAATGGCTTAAACTAGCTCCTTCTCCGCCTCTACTTCCAACGTCCGCTCGGTTCCTACGGCGTCAGTAGCGTGAACCTCGGATTCTGTCACGGTTTGGGGGATTTTTGGTAACGGTTCAGTTCCCTGAATGTAGCTTAGAAGCCATTGTTGAATGTGGCATTGGTTAGGGTTTTACGATACAGAGGGTTTAACGACTTGAAAAGGTTACCATATTGGCACACAGGGTTTTATAATCACACTGATTACCAGTTCTCCGTTCTTCTCTCTGTGCACCCTATTCATGTGTATTCGCGATGTCGCACGTCATCCCTTTCTAACAAACTCGTTAATCCTAACTAGTTGAAAACCCATGCAAATGGGGTAAAACTGTAAACTAAGAAACACAGGGAGTAAAAGTGTCAACAAACTGTGGCCAAAATCCAAAGTGGAAAACTTAGGAAAACAACTGTGGCCAATATATATATATATATATATATATATATATATATATATATATATATATATATATATATATATATATATATATATATATATATATATATATATATATATATATATATATATATATATATTCCTATTCTAATAAAAGAATATGTTTAATCTTCTATTGACAAGTGTCATACAATTAGAACATCTCATTAATGTTATATATTCATTATCATGCTACTGTCAACCTATTAGTTATTAATTTCAAATTTCAAATTTCAAATTTTTTCACTCTAATTACATTAAACTAATAATTGATTCTTTTATTTAAATTTCAAATTTTAATTTTTCTCACTCTAATTATATTAAATTAATAACATTAGATATAAAAATAAAATAAATTTAATACATATTATAAGATGATATAATTTCATGTATTTATTTAAATTAACGATTATAATTTTATATAACTAAAAAAATTTCTTAACTAATAATTTATTTAAAAAAATTAATTAATAATTTTGATTTTTTATACGAAAGTTTAATTAATTTTATAACTGTGGTTCTCACAAGTTATAAACTAGTATATATATAGGGCTAGGTTATTTTGTTTCTTACATTTATTGTGTACTCGAATGCACCAATAAGAATTTAGTAAATTAAATAATTAATTAATTAAATAAATATAGATATTAAATGATTTCCATAATTATATGTATATTAAATGATATTCATAATTATAATTATATTTTTATGGAAATTAATTAAATCCATCATTAATGTCAGCAATAACATTCTTTCAGAATGAATTCGCATCTAGGTTTTTATATATGAGTTCGTATTTTGTTTCAGGACTCACTTACTTAAAATACAATAGAGTTGCATGGAATATGAAGAACGAGAGTGTATTACAGTAGAATACCCTCTCATTCTGCTGGAATACACTCTCATTCTTTTAGATATGAATTCATTCTGAAAGAATATTATTGTTGACATTATTGAAGAATTTAATTAGTTTCTATAAAAATGAGTTATAAGTATGGATAGCATTTAATATACATATAATTAATACAAAATTCTTATTGGTGCATTCTAACACACAATAGATGTGAGAAACATTTGAACCTCTCTCTCTCTCTCTCTCTCTCTATATATATATATATATATATATATATATATATTAATTTTATTTTAGTTGAATTATAAGAAAAATGTACAAATTGTCTGTATAGTTGGGAAAAAAAACTGAAGTTTTAGTAAAAAAAAAAAGTTTGGCTTTGTACCGGTGATCAAATTTCGGGTTTGCAGATTCTTTATGTAATTTTGGTCCGTCTCACTAAATGGCTTTAGTTCTCAGGGTTAAAAATAAAAATGTGATATTGTAATCTTCTGACATTTTCACTTGTTTAACTCCTTCAGTTTTTGGATGGAATTTAACTCATTTAAGTATCCAAATCTTTTTAAAAGTTGGGCAGCGGTTCCTTTCCCTGAATGTACCTTAGAAGCCATTGGTGAACATACCTTCTTAGGAATAGTCGTTTCAGCAGCCGGAGTTACTCAGTTACCGTAGGGTGATCATCTAATGGCTTAAACTAGCTCCTTCTCCGGCGCCGCTTCCAATGTCCGCTCGGTTCCTACGCGTCAGTAGCGTGAACCTCAGATTCTTTCACGGTTTGGGGGATTTCGGTAGCAGTTCAGTTCCCTGAATGTAGCTTAGAAGCCATTGTTGTATGTGGCATTAGTTAGGGTTTTACGATACAGAAGGTTTAACGACTTGAAAAGGTTACCACTTACCATATTGGCACACAGGGTTTTGTAATCACACTAATTACCAGTTCTCCGTTCTTCTCTCTGTGCACCTTATTCATGTGTATTCGCGATGTCGCACGTCATCCCTTTCTAACAAACTCGTTAATCCTAACTAGTGGAAAACCCATGAAAATGGGGTAGAACTATAAACTCAGAAACATAGGGAGTAAAAGTGTTAACAAACTGTAGCCAAATTCCAAAGTGGAAAACTTAGGAAAACAATTGTGGCCAATATATATATATATATATATATATATATATATATATATATATATATATATATGTATGTATATATATATATATATATATATATATATATATAGGGCTAGGTTATTTTGTTTCTTACATTTACTGTGTGCTAGAATGCACCAATAAGAATTTAGTAAATTAAATAATTATCTAATTAAATAAATATAGATATTAAATAATTTCCATAATTATATGTATATTAAATGATATTCATAATTATAATTCTATTTTTATGGAAACTAATTAAATCCGTCATTAATGTCAGCAATAACATTCTTTCATAATGAATTCGCATCTAGGTTTTTATATATGAGTTCGTATTTTGTTTCAGGTTTCACTCACTTAAAATACAATAGAGTTGCATAGAATATGAAGAACGAGAGTGTATTATACTAGAATACACTCTCATTCTGCTGGCATATACTCTCATTTTTCTAGATATGAATTCATTCTGAAAGAATATTATTGTTGACATTATTGAAGAATTTAATTAGTTTCTATAAAAATGAGTTATAACTATGGATAACATTTAATATACATATAATTAATACTAAATTCCTATTGGTGCATTCTAACACACAATAAATGTGAGAAACATTTGAACCTCTCTCTCTCTCTCTCTCTATATATATATATATATATATATATATTATTTTAGTTGAATTATAAGAAAATTGTAAAAATTATCTGTATAGTTGGGAAAAAAAACTGAAGTTTTAGTAAAAAAAAAAAGTTTGGCTTTGTACCGGTGATCAAATTTCGGGTTTGCAGATTCTTTTTGTAATTTTGGTCCATCTTGCTAAACGGCTTTACTTCTCAAGGTTAAAAATAAAAATGTGATATTGTAATCTTCTGACATTTTCACTTGTTTAACTCCTTCAGTTTTTGGATGAAATTTAACTCATTTAAGTATCCAAATCCTTTTAAAAGTTGGAACCAACCATACTTTGGATGGAATCTAAGGGGTTGTTTGTTTTTTTTGTGAAAAGTTGCACAACCACTTTTGTCTGCGCCGCGCAGACAACGCGCAAACATATGCCATCGTAGAGTGTTTGTTTTTTGGAAGTGTGCAGACAAAAAAACGTCTGCGCGACGTCTTCCTGGCGCAGACATGGGTCACAGTCTTCAAAGGTCTTCAGACCTCATTTTAACCGAAAAAAAAAAACCATTTGTTTTTTCTCTCTTTTTGCTGAAAATGCATTTTTAATCTTTATGACATGAAATTAAGTTCAATAAATTAATTTATTTCAACAGCTGCAGACGTTAAAAACAAACAGTTTTCTTATTGCAGACTGCAGACATTTGGTCCACCTCTTCTGCTGCAGAGGCTTGCAGATGTGATCCGCAGACTGCAGACATTTTGGCTTCAAAAAAACAGACAGCACCTAACTCATTTAAGTATCCAAATCCTTTTAAAAGTTGGAACCAAACATACAAGGTGTTTGAATTGGATTATAATTCCTTCTAATTTCAATGGATTTCAGCGAACCAAACGATACCCGTGTGTTTTCAAATTCAATTTTGGTTAAATCGATATTGATAACTTTAGAGATCAATAACACATGATGTATAAACTATAAGAATATGAATTACCTAATAACTCTTATAAACTAGAACTTTGAATAAATATTCATAAACATACATACTAACATACGGGAATATAAACATAGCATTACTGCATTAGTGAACAATATGACAATATTAATTCATATTCACATAAACTAACTCATCAAACTACTAACTGAATCTTTTACTACGACCAATCATTCTAACCCAATTAGCACACACATCCGGGTCTAATTTCATCCAACATTCCCTATAGTTATCATTTTCGTCACAAAAAATCGTGAGTGCAACTAGTTGGAGCGGATCATCTTTGGGCCACCCAAGCTCATTCAACTTCTTTTCACAATCTTCAAATGTCGGTTTTGAAGGTGGTTCAGGTTTGTTCATCTTTTCAGCTATCATCTTCAAGACACCCAACATTTCTTCTTCAAAAACCGACATTGGTCGTTTCGTCTCTATTACCACGACTTCACTTGCAGGTTGTACTTGAGGCATTTCCGGTGGTACTTCAACCATTGGTTCTTTTTGTGGTTCTGCTGGTGTTTCAGTAGCGGGTAATGGTGGTAGTGTTTGGGTAGATGGTGGAATGAGAGCATCTGCCGCTTGAGGTTCAAGGGATGCTTCAACCGAACATGAAAAAACAATATAATTTTCTTCCACAAAAAAAAAAAAAAAAAAAAAATGTTAAATATATTCTGCAGAAACTGATTGGGACAAAATATTTTTCAAAATATACACAAATCCTTGCAAAAGAGAAAACATTAGACACAAACCATTACCTGATGGGGTGGTAGTGACGTGGGACGGCGACAATGTAGGGAGGCTCAGTCCCGGTTTGGTCAAAGCCTGGTCAACACCGCCGTCAAAAAGTTGTGCACAAAGATCCGGAAACCGTAGGGGGGAATCCCTCAACTCTTCTATGCATTTATTTTTCTGTATGAAATACTTTAACAAATTCATAACCAAAACAACAACAAAAAAATTACTTTAGCAAAAGGTACCTTGATTTCAGTCTCCCATTCAATGTCTGTCAAATTAAACATGTTGGTGGAAGGATCATATTTGTTGTCGGTTTTGTTTTTCAGTGATAGCCAAGCTCTGTACTTGGTCTTGAGTCCATCAAAATAGTTTTTCATTTGTTTAGTATCAACAGGAAAGTTATGTCTATCTTTAAGCATCTCCCCAACTTTCTTCCATGAAACTGCTTTTAAACTACCGTTTTCTCGGCCATTGTTGGTGATCTCATGAATACATGCATCAAGAAACGTATTAACTATGTCATCCTTCCAAAGATACCTAGTTCGTTTTGGTCCGTTCATACTTTCCATACCTAAAAAAAACATGAATATAAACAAAACAAATCATTTACAAAATTACTAATGATGAGCAATGGAGATGGAAGCCACAAATAGAGATGAGAAATGGGAAAAATATATATATATTCCAAAAATAAACAAATGATTACCTGATGGTGGCGGCAAAATTGGGCGGCGTCGACAGCGACAGCGTCTGCGACAATGATGAGGAGGGGGCGGTACGTACATGGGGTAAAAGGTTGGCATGAGAGCCGGCCCGAAAAAATCCCGGTCTAGCCTGTAAAAAGCACGGCCCGCTCCGGAAATAGCCCGACTTGACCCGGTCCATATAACGGGTTCCTCAGCTGCCATCTTCATTGCCACTTCAACCATGTTTGAATCAAAGAGAGGAGGGATGCTATGATCAACCGAAAACATGTGCAGGTGTCTATGAACAGCTTCTAAAGCTTGCCGAACCTTGAGAGCTTCTCCCTTTAACTCTACAATTCTATCATCTGAGTTGGCGGATAATGTTGATACTTCATCTGCCAGGAAAAAAAAAAAAAGGAATTTGGAAATAAAAAGTAATTGAAACCAATACAAAAATGGATAAAATGAAACTAGCTCATACTGGATTTAGGTTTTGTTGTTGTAAAGACAGCATAGAAAATTGTGTCATATTAAAGGAAACATCCTAACATCCTATATGCATATATGAATAAATAATAATCATTATATTTAGAAAAGAAATTATACCACTAGGTAGGATACGAACAGAACAACCGATGTTGTCCTGTATTGTATTGACTGAGGATCCTCGATTCCCAATCAGACTTGTGGCTTGCATTGATGTTAACAATAGTCGACTTGAGCAAAATGGAATGGATGCTACACCATCACTCTCATTTTCTGGAAATCCATTCACACATTTAAATAATCTTATCACACCATCCATTGCAGATGACAAAGGTGCCTCCATATCTTCCTTGCTAGATATTTCTACCTAAAAGATAGAAACGAACACTATTGTAAAGGGAATGATGAAAGGGGACACTAAAGGGGCAACTATAAATACCTAGTTCCTCTACTTTCCAAAAGTGTCAACCGCAGGTCATTTAGTAACCTGTGTATGCAACTAAAGTGATTATGACCATGGAAACATCATTTTTTCTGAAGCAACGAAATCTAAGATTGGATTATTTACATGTTTCGAACTCATATTTATGACGTACCGATTTTACATGGTGAATAAAACATGCTACTGAATTACCAAATGACGCAGGGTACTAAAAAAAATGAAAAAACCCAAATCAAAAAAATAACTTGATCATCCAAAACAAAAAGAACAGGGAATCTCAAAGGAACAACTTACAATGCATTTAGGATCGTAATCGGGTCCTTCCAGCACACGAATGTTAGCTTTAGTCTCTTCGCATATCTTCTTGATGAAATCTCCATTCCGGCCGAAAATACTCTCAACTTTATGCACAGGCACTATAATCCGAATTACAGAATCTACCGGCAATTTCTTATAAGGAATCGTTGTTTCCGCAGCCCCCGCTACCTCCGTAAGGTGATCAGCTACTGACTTCGCCTCCTTCTCCAGTGTCTCTTTCATTTTCACTCCCACCGTGGGGTGATGCTCAACCTCCTTCTCCTTCGCCGCTTCCACCGCCCGCTCGGTTTCTATGGCGTCAGTGGCGCGAATCTCGTCATCTATCACGGTTTTGGGGGTTTCAATAGCGGTTCCACTCCCTGAATGTACCTTAGAAGCCATTGCTTTATACTGACGGTTTCAATAGCGGTTCCGTTGGTTAGGGCTTTATAGTGAGGGTTTAACGACTTGAAATGGCACTGATTGTCAATTCTCATTTCGTTCTTTCAGCAAGCTATTTCTTCGCATCAGCAACGTGATACGTCATACCTTCCTAACGAAATCAGTTTTCTTTGGTTAATCCAAATTTAAAAAAAAAAAAAAAAAAAAAAAAAAAAAAAAAATCAAATAAGTCATTAGATTTTCTTACTATAAAAAATGACTTTTATGTGTATAATCTATTAGTTGTTTCTTTATAAGTTATAACTTCGACTAAACTGCAATTTTGGTCCAGTGGGACGTAAAAAAATATTTTCAATTTGAACAGTTGGTTCAAAATCTTTTTTTTTTTTTTTTTTTTTTTTTTTTTTGGTTTTAGTCCCTCAAATTTGCATCTCTCTCTTATCTCCTTGTTTTAGCAATCCCACCACTGCTGCTTTCCCGAAGTTTGTGTCACTTCCCCTAACGTTATGGATTCCAGCAAGCAACAATTTCACTATAACTGTGATGTTTTCCTCTGACACTAGATTCAACGACTTCTTTTGTCCTCCTTCAACGCCCATCTATTATCCTTCAGTGAAAGAAGAAGTAATCGATTGTTAACTTGTCCATTTGATCTTTACGTTAACCATTTTATGGTTAACGAGAACATTGCAAAATTCTAGGGTTTATTTTGGGGCTAAGATTTTTTTATATGTTGATGCAATCAAAGTTTCTTTATTCCTACTATGGTTTACTCTTTAGCTGCAACAACAACGGCGAATAAATCTTCCATTTCTTCTACTATTGTGGTTCAAGTTACGTTTGATTTTAATTTCGAGTGGAGCAGTCATTGGTAGAAATTGACTCTGTTATTTTGTAGTAAACATGTAAAATTCATTCTTGGATTGAGCCTTCTTGATGTTAACAAAGCATATGATTCTAATGGCATCAATTGGGATTATGTAACAACGTAAAATTTTCAATTTAATTTTTCATTTTTAAATCACAAAATGTATATCATATCATAATCTCAAAACCATAAAAACAGTGTTTGCAAACAAATCCCAAGATCTCTCTAACATAAACTCCATCGGTGTGGGTGTGTACAAGTCAAGCCGTCGCCTTCCCACGGTCCTCGCTGGTACCTGAGACATCAACACAACAACTGTAAGCATAAATGTTTAGTGAGTTCCCCAAAATACCACATGTCACAAATACGCCACTCAAGGCTAAACTCGACCCTCCGGTCAAGATGTCTCAGCGGGACCCTCCAGTCCCACAGCTCGTCGGACCCTCCGGTCCAGTCATAGCTCGTTGGGCCCTCTGGCCCGGTCTGAATCGTTGGACCCTCCGGCCCGGTCTATATAATCATACCGCATACAGCTAATACATAGCACGAAATCTCTAATATAACACATAATCTCATACATAGCACATAAGACCCTCTGGTCAACTCGAAATACCACTCAAGGTAACGTATAGTGAGAAGACTCACCTCGCGTATCTCGGAATCACTAGCGCTCGATCTCCTGAGCTATCGTCCTCCTACAACACAAGCATATCTCTACTTAATACCACCTTGACCCTGGCTGACTAACACTACAAAGTCAAACTAGTCAACTCTGGACAACGGTCAAAGTCAACCCCTGACTGACTCTACTCGCCGAGTCAACCCGATGACTCGCCGAGTCCCCAAGCTCATAACTTCCCTAAATCCGTGACCTGACTCGCCGAGTCACCCCGAGACTCGCCGAGTCCAACAACTCTGAGTCCACTCGCACCCAACTCACCGATTCGTCCCTTGACTCACCGATTCTCGACTCAACCAGAAAATATTGGGACTCTTCGACAAGACTCGCCAAGTCCAAGAACAGACTCGCCGAGTCTAAGGCTATCTTCAACCTACTCGCCGAGTTATTCATCCAACTCGTCGAGTTCCAACTCATCTTCAAGCAACTCGTCGAGTCTACCCATGCGACTCGCCGAGTACCACCGGTCTGAATCCATACAGAAGCATTCCAGGCCATGCAATTTATCCAAAACATAGATCTAGCCTCCTACAACCCATCCATCACGTAAAGTGGCAAACTTTACGTGAATCCAAAGAGATCTAGGTCTTATACACTTTAGGGCTAGGATTTGGGACATGATGGCTTCACTAAGCACTCAAACACAGGGACTTTAATGCACTCTAGACCTTCCCCATTCCAGATCCGAGGTAGTAACCTCAGATCTAACCTCCAAACTCCAAAACATCCCAAGATAAGCTCCCCATAAACCTCAAAATGATGAATCCATATGAGCAACAACCCAAGAACGAGATATTACCTCAAAAAAGCGCCCCAACTGCAATGAAATTCGAATCCAAGCAAAGCCCCTTACTCCAAGCCTCCAAACTCCCAAGATTCCTTCAACAAATACCCTTCAAGCTCCCAAATGCACTTTGATCCACTCACACACGAATGCTAAGGGTTTCTGGACTTGAGGATGAGTAAAGGGGTTGGGGGAATGGATGTTAAGTTCCTTATATAGGGCTCAACCCCGGGAATTAGGGTTTTCTTGTCACACCCCCAAACCAAGGATGGCGGAAACGTCCGGGGGTGGAGGACTTCATGTAGAGTATCACAACAATGAGTATAATAGTGCTCAAAGTAAATACAACCAACACAAATATAATTGAAAACGTTATATCAAAGCACATGTTTACATGATTCACATCAATTACATTATAATACAAAATGAACTGTTTGACGATTTATCGTCCCATCCTCAAAACGTTGTTGATTTCCTGTTTTCACTGAATTCCTGAGAATACAAGTAGTTTTGAAAAGTGTCAACACAAAGGTTGGTGAGTTCATAAGAGATTTCGTTGGAAAAGTAAATCGTTTTCCTTGTAAAAGCGTTAGAATATGTATCCAGAAAATCCGATATTTTCTTTAAATCTGCGTAATGTAGTCTTATGACTGAAGACCAAAATGTATAAGTAACTTTTCTTATTAATAGAAAATATTATGTACTTAAATGGACATGGACGCATTTGAATAAAATGAAATTTCTTAATGTTCTCATGTTCGTTAATACTTTATATATATGTAGTCCTAAATTAGTGGACCGAGAGTAACAAGTATTGACCATACTTAAAAGTATAAATGTGGTTTCAAATGATGTGTAGTCGTAACTACCAAAACCAAAAGTGTACAGTAATATCTGTACTCATAGAGATAAAAAGTGATTTTAAATCGACATAAAACTCATTTAGGTTTTGAAAATAAAATCCCGTAAACTTATGGATTGTTATATCCCTATGTGAGTCGCTATAATCATACTATGACTATGTGAACCTGCCACGACGTTCTCAGTGTCGCGAAAAATAAAATGACATTTGTCACCCGTAGACCTGCAGGTCCAACTGTAGCTAGCAGCAAGGTGTGGGGTGTCAAACCCAATATAGATCTATATACAAGTATCACGTTCTCCCTCAAGGAGATTCTGATTATAACTACCAGGAATTATATCCCGCACTCGGACGTACGGGGAGTGAGAGAGAGAGAGAGTCTCACAATATAGGGTAACAAGTTTACGTGAAATGTGTGTGAATATAAATATCTCTTGTATGAATGTACCCTTCTTGTACGAGTGCGTAGAGTGATGTATCATAAACTATACCTATTATAGTTTATCTAAAATGTATGTAATATGTATGAACTCTTTTATGGAAATGCATTAGTGTTGTGAATTTATCAAACCATAGATTAACAAATTTACGTGAAATGTGTGTGAATAGAAATCTTTCTTGTATGAATGTACTCTCCTTGTACGAGTGCGTTGAGTGATGTATCATAAACTATACCTATTATAGTTTATCTAAAATGTATATAATATGTATGAACCCTTTTATGGAAATGTATTAGTGTTATAAATATATTCAAACTATACTTTTTATAGTTAAATAATACGTGTTCCAAAATGAATGAATAATATTTAATATGAATGTCTTAGTTCCAGTTCATAATGATAAACTAATAAGGAAACACATTCAAATATTAGAACTTATGATTATACACTTTGCTCAACACAATACAAAGTGTTATGATATTTACATGCTGTTGGCTAACTTTAGCCATTCTGCCCTGTTTTTGGAAAAATCATAGAAAAATCATACGAAGTCGAAAACTAGATCCATAAATTCTGAGAGTTCACAAAATGTGTCTAGTTTACTCATAATTTTTATCACGATTTTTAATGACCTCCAACTTGGGTGAAAAAGTCCAAAATCACAGACTGGTCCGGATTGTTGTTTGAAATGATAGGCAGTTTTGTAAAAATCACCATAAATTGTAGAAAAATCGTATGGAGATGTGCAAGTAGCCATTTTAAAGCTAAAAACTTGAACTATTTGCACCTTGTACAGTTTTGAAAACAAAAATGTTTAAGATGCCCAAAACAGTCCGTGAATGGAGTTGAACTTTTCTGATGAAGGCTGTTAGAAAAATTTAGTTATGTTCTTAGTATTTTAACTTGTATTCCCCCCCTGAAAACTTGAGAAAACATGAAAATGTAGGGGTATGAACTCACCTTGAGTGATTTCAGTAGGTAAGTGTTGAAGAAGAGAAGTGTTCAACCCAAGAACACTTGAAGAATCACTTGAAGATTCGAAGCTCTAACGCTAATATGATGGAGTTTGTGTAAGATATTCATGATTTGAGTAGAATGAAGTGAAATAATCATAAGGAGGATGAATTATACTTACTAAGAGTGGAAGAACACGTGAAGATCAGCCTTGAATCTCGAGTTTGGAGTGGGAAAAGTTTGAGAGAAAGTGGTGTTTGATACTTAGTGAAATGAGGGCAAATGAGAGAAAATGAGGAGAGAGGATGTTTGTTCCAGCTCTAAAAACGTGGGAATGAGTGTAAATTGAGTGGAAATGACATTGATGTGACCTAGGTAAGGTGGGGAGGTGTGGTTAGTCAAAGAGTGGGTGTGAGGTGGTTGCTTGTGACATTGGATAAGGCAAAGTCAACACTCCACCTTTAATAATTCACCCATTTGATTTTTATTATTTAAATAATGATTTTCATCAAAATATGTTTAAATTATGAATATTTAGAGTTTATTATGTTAA